CGCCGTGGCTGCGGCCATGGCCGGAACCCGGTCGCGCTGGTGTACCGCCACGTCGGAGGGTGGCCAACGCAGGGGCCCAGCCGTTTCGTCGCCGCATGGGGAGAGAGGGAGAGAGACGACGACGCTGGCACCGGCGAGCGGAGAGGGAGCGCACGGGATCAAGAGGCCCGATCTGGATTTGAATCTAGAAGCGAGGAGAAGTCGGTGGAGCAAGATATTTTTGCTGCTGTTGACCTAAAGGAGGGTGATATGTGGAGCAACAGTAAACAACCGGAAGACTAAATCTGAACGGTAAAACTGAGATCAAACGACGCAAAATTTTTCTGCTAACGTGGACACGGCCTGAATGGCGGCCGAAGCAAACTGGCTTAATAATAGTAGATGGGCCGGGCTAAAATTCACGCTCGAGCTTGGCTCAGGTGGGACCATTTTTTAGCGACAGACTATATGATGATATAAGTCACTTTAGTGACAGACAAGCAAATGGTGATTGTGAATACGTATACCGACAGATATTGAATCACTAAATGAGGATTTAGCGCCAGATGGTCTCTGAGTTATTTTTAGCGTCAGATCATCCATCGCCAAATATAATTTTTAGCGCCAGATGTCTGACGGTGAAGTGGTGTTGTGGTGTAGTGAATGTCTTGGTGAGGAACTACGCATATTGAGCGATCTGAGAGAATCATTTGGGGAGCAAAGCTATGTCTTAATTTAAAAATCTTTCATAAAAACCCAAGTTTTCTAAGCAGGAGAAGTGAGGATGACTAGATTCTAATCCGTTCCATTGTTCAACCACCCATGATGGCGTGATAGACACTTCAAAGTTCACATGTATTGGTGAAGCTTGGAATAAGGTAATATTGCTACCAGTGAATTCTTTAGCTCCTTACCAGTGATTTGATAGCCGATTATAGTTATAAACTCGGGGGCCAGCTCTTAATCGGCTAAAGCAGATGAACAGTCAACCCAAGTAAGTCATTAAAGTCAAGTATTGCAATCAGACGTTGTTGACTCGAGAAAGGAGATTATTGGATCAAAATAGTTCAAAGCATGAAAACTCATACTTTGAACTAGGGGGGCCTGTGTTTACACCAAAATTTGGTAAGCTTATCCTTGAAAGGAAGAGATCGGTCGATGATGTCAAAAGAAAGAAAGTTTCCTAAGTAAGGGATATTTATGAGCTGGCCAGGAAATATTATTTAATAAATTTGAGAGAGACATGACGTCCAGTTGCATATCAGGATGAAAGAAACAAGAACACGTATCAAACAAGGAACCTTCATCAGCAAGGATTCTGGATAAGGGAAATTAGAATCCATGTATCTTGATATTTCTTTTTGTTATCTAGTCATGTTCATTTAGGACTCTTATCAGCCCAGGGTATAAATATAAACCCCCGGCTATTGTAACAGAGACACATCAATACAAGTTACTTTTTTCGGCTTCACGCCAACCCTTAGGAGTAGGAGTAGTGTAGATCTCGGCGAGTTCTTCAACAAGGAAGGCTGCATCGGTCCAGCCGACCTCTGACTTGTCTGTAAGTACTGTCATGGCTTATGCTTCTGTTTATATGGCTGCATCGGTTAAGTTCGACCTCCACTGCAAACTCTAGTATAAGCTAGTTATCGACTCTTATCTAGTTCAAGTACGGCTGCATCGGTTAAGTCCGACCTCCACTGCTCGAATTAGATTAAGGTTAAGTTATCGGCTCTACCTAAGAGTAGCATTCTTTGGGTAGATTCATTAAGTTACCGATCTTGCTGATGTTCTTATTGTCGTTAATTTTCAGCAGCATCAATCTACCCGATCGAGATTGATCTAGATCGGCCTCACATCCTTTTAGTCCATCGTTTGCTTTGTTGCAATATGATGTTTCTTACAATGAGCGACGGGTTACGTTTTATTGGCTGTTCTACTTCGATCTTGATCATGCATAGTACGTGGTTAAGGCATGTATGCTCTTGAAGAGGTTTTCTGGCTAGTTAAGTCTGGTCTATAGTTCGCTATTATGGCTACAACGATCCGGTCGATCCCCACTGATTGCACTCTAGATCGGAGGATGCTAGTTGGTAGATTTGTTCTCGATAAGGCATGACCATAACTGTTTGCTATGCCTGCATCTGCTATATAGCCAATCGCCTATGCTTTAACGCCTACAGTGTGTCTCCATGATTCTGTTAAATGTGTATAGATCCGTATACTTTAAAGGTTTGATTTGTTGTCTTTATCATGGCTGCCATCGATTCGGTCAAACCCCACTGTTAGATATAGCAGGTTGAGTCTGATGAGTTTATAGATTTGTCCATGTTAAATAGTCGATTGTTCACAAGTTATAGTCCTTTTTCACCTGAATCAGCTATTTTAGCCAATTGCCTCGAGCTTTCACACACATAGCATGTCTTTCAGAAAGCCTGTCAACGTATAGATGGTTTTACGACTTCTTTGGTTTTAGTTTGTTATTATCATCATAGCTGCCATCGATTCGGTCGAACCTCACTCTTGATGGTAACAGATTAGATTCAGAGCGTTTGTAGGTCCATTTGTACTAGACAGTCGATTCATTCGCATGCTATGTCCTTTCTCGTTAAATTCATCAGCTCAATGTTTTACACCGGTAATATCCACCTAGCTGATGATTTTGTTTATATCCACATGCATTGTACCTGTCAACATAAAATCAATTGCAATCCATGAGCTTCACAGTCCGTAACAGCCGATTTCTTCGCAGATCGGCTGTTTAGTCGATTTTCCCGTCTAGCTGCTCCCGAAGCGGCACACTTGGAACTGTCTGGGCAAAACCGGCATGTTCTACCATAAATTACTCATAAACTTTCTCTCCTTGTCAATTGCAGGTCAAATTGACTAGCATGCCTCGGGAGGAATACGCAGGATCGGCTAATCCTGCGTTGAAGCCAAGCGGATCTCCAGGCTCATCTTAAGCAGATCCTTCCGGCTTGCTGTGTGTCCGACACATTGACACATCTTTGCACCGACAGTAGCTAAACATTCTGTAATCTAATTCATAGGCCATTGAATGAGGCGATCTGTGTCATTGTAGGCAACTTCGGTTCTCATCAAAGCATTGGGGTCAACACCCCATTCCTACCAAAACCACCGGAGGCAAAGGGTCGTCCCAAATCTATCCAGGTTTAGCACTCCCATGCCGCCCGAATCCTTTGGCTTGTAGACTGTGAACCAATTCACTCACTACAGGAAACATTGACTTTTCCGTGTGCCACAGGCACTCGGCAAAGACTAAAAAACACTCGGCAAAAAATTTGCCGAGTGTAACACTCGGCAAACACGCCTCATGCCAGACTTAATAACATGGATATCATTTTTTTACTCATTTTATTCTATTATTTGAACCACTTGCAGTTCAAATTTGACTTATACCAAAAAATTCCTTGAAAAACAATAAATTAATTAAATATAGCAAACGGATCCACAAATATACCAAATCTTAACATGGAGTACCACATATTATATGTAGAGAGGAGAAAAAGTTTCAAGGCTAGAAGTGAAAAAAAAACTTATTATTTCATGCAGTTGTAGCTCAAATTCAATGTATATCAATTAAAATTCTATAATTGCACTTAATAAAGTAAAATTATCAAACGGATTCAAAAAATTATCAAAATTACACATGAATCAATCTATGTTCTCTATTGCCTATAAAAAAGTTTTGAAGTCAAACCCCAACTCGACCGTCACTTTGATTCTAAATCTTACCGAATCCTTCTCAACGCTACGATTCTTCTTCTGAGATACTTTAGTTTGTAAACATCGTACGTGACAGATTATGCGAAACCTTCTCAATTTTTTATCATGGCCTCCATGTATGATATCACGAGATCTTGACAAATCTCATGATTTTCAGACTTTGTTTGCTTTTTTTAGAATTTAAAAACCATTCGGCCACACGTTCGTGGTCGTGTTTCCTGAACAAGATGTTTGAAATTTCTTTTCATTTCCCGGGTAAGGCCTCACACCGGACTAAATAACATGGATATCATTTTTCTACTCATTTATTCTATTATTTGAATCGCTTGCGGTTCAAATTTGACTTATACCAAAAAAATCCTTGAAAATCAGTAAATTAATTAAATATAGCAAACGGATCCAGAAATATACCAAATCTTAACATGGAGTACCACATGTTGTATGTGGACAGTAGAAAAAGTTTCAAGGTCAGAAAAAAAAACTTATTTATTTGCCGAGAGCAAAAAAAACACTTGGTAAAATTATTTCTTTGCCGAGTGCTAAAGGAAAACACTCGGCAAACTTACTTCTTTGTCGAGTGCCACTAACGGACACTCGGCAAGCTCCTAACGGCCGGCACACTGGCTGACGGATGTCCATGTGGCGGTTTTTTGCCGAGTGTCTCTGTTTTGCCGAGTGTTTTTTCCTAGTTTGTCGAGTGGTCTTTTTTCAGCACTCAGCAAAGATATTGGTATGTCGAGTGCCATTGTTTTGCCGAGTGTGGGTTCTGATGCACTCGGCAAACAGCGTTTTTGCCGAGTGCCCGATATGCACTCGGCAAATCTTTTGGCACTCGGTAAATCTGCTGTTTCCGGTAGTGACTAGACGATGACTCCCTTTTGCGTTTCTCCTCATCTTTGCAGAGGAAGGATATTCTAATTTTATCAATCTTCTTTCTCGTCCAAACCGCTAGGGGAACACAGTCAAGTGGTAAGTAGGCATTGAAGATAGCACCGAGGTGACTAAGGTTCGCCTGCATGCTCTATTCGGCATTTTGCCTTTCTAACCTGGTAGCCCCTGGCCGATGCGCTCAATGAGGGTTGCATGGACGCCTCTGCAGTGATCTAGTATGCAGCTGCAAGCCCAAAGCTCTATAGATTTCTACGTACCTGCTTTAACGAGGAGACAGTACACAGAGATGCCGAGTCCTTTTGTCATGCACTAAATGAACAACTAATGACGAGGAGAAAAGAGGGTGACCTGACAAGGAACAGAGGGCATGGGCGTCCCCGGCCATGGCTTCCTGCCTTCTCCTTCTCCATCTCGCCTTCCTCTTCCTTGCAGCAGCGGGGCAGGACAACACCACCATGGAGCCGGCTTATGCATCCTGCTCGACGACGGGCAACTACACGGGCGGCAGCCAATACAAGAAGAACCTGGACCAGCTCCTGGCCGCGCTCCCGGCGGCGTCCAGCAGCAACGGCGGGTTCTACAAGGGCAGCGTCGGGGCGGGGGCCGACGCGGTGTTCGGCCTCATCATGTGCTTCGCGGACAGCAACGCGGCCGAGTGCCTCGATTGCCTCTCCAGGGCGCCGGCCGGGATCACGGCGGCGTGCCCGTGCAGCCGGAGCGTGAACGCGGTGTACGACGCGTGCGTGCTCCGGTACTCGGCGGCGCCAATCCCCGACGCCGCGGACCTCGACTACGAGCCTCCGGTCTCGGTGCGCGCTGCCTGGGTGCCCCTGATGTGCAAGCTCGCCGGCGGCATGGAAACCTCGCCGCTGCGGATCTCCAACGACAGCACGCCGTACTCGGGTCCGCAGAAGGGCCGGATGTACGGCCTGGCGCAGTGCACCAGGGACCTCAACGCCAGCGAGTGCAACAGGTGTATCTCGAGCTACGCCGACAAGCTGTGGAGCCTGTTCCCCAACAACATCTCCGGTGCCCTCAGGGGGTACAGCTGCTACCTGCGGTACCAGGTGGGCGCGTTCGACGTCACTCTGCCACCGGAGCCGGCGCCGCCGCCGTCACAGGCGGTTCCTGGTACACGTCCGGCTTACCCGCCGTCACCACAGGAAGTTCCAGGGTCTTTTTCCCCCGCATGGCCTTCGTCTTCGTCCAAGACAGGGGTCGTCACGGTGGGCATGCCCGTCAGTTTGGTCTCCGTCCTGGTCACCCTGGGCTTGTCCGCGTTTCTCCTTCTCCGGCGACAGCTGGAAAAGGATAGATTTCGTGAGGAAGCGAGGGAGCAAGAGCGGGAACAGTGTGATTTCTTTGATGATGACCAGCCGGAGATGGAAGAGGAGTTCGAGAAAGGGACAGGGCCGAAGCGGTTTCGCTACGGCGAGCACGCCATTGCCACCGGCAACTTTGCCGATGACAGGAAGCTCGGGGAAGGAGGATTTGGAATTTTGGATCGGTGTACAGAGGAGTCTTGAAGGAGATGAACCTTCACGTCGCCATCAAGAGGGTGTCCAAGGGCTCCAAGCAGGGGAGGAAAGAGTACGCCACGGAGGTGAGGATCATCAGCCGGCTGAGACACCGCAACCTGGTGCAGCTCGTCGGCTGGTGCCGCGGCGGCGGCGACCTCCTCCTCGTGTATGAGCTCATGCCCAATGGAAGCTTCGACAAGCATCTCTACAGTAGTGGCAGCGACGACGCCGACGACACGCTGCTGCCAGTGCCATGGCCGCGCCGGCACGACGTCGTGCTGGGGCTAGGGTCGGCGCTGCTCTACCTGCACGAGGAGTGGGAGCAGTGCGTGGTGCACAGGGACATCAAGCCCAGCAACGTGATGCTGGACGCGTCCTTCCACGCCATGCTCGGCGACTTCGGCCTCGCCAGGCTCGTCGACCACGACCGTGGCTTGCACACGACGGTGGTCGCGGGCACGATGGGCTACATGGACCCCGAGTGCGTCATCACCGGCAGGGCCGACGCCAAGTCGGACGTCTACAGCTTTGGCGTCGTGCTCCTCGAGATCGCCTGCGGCCGGCGGCCCATGGTGGTGGCGGCGTCTCGCCGTGGGGAAGAAAGCGAGGGCGTGGTCCACATTGTGGAGTGGGTGTGGGAGTACTACGGCAGGGGAGCCGTCCTCGACGCCGCCGACGCGCGGCTGAAGGGTGAGTTCGACGCCCGGGAGGTGGAGACGGTGATGCTCGTCGGGCTCTGGTGCGCGCACCCTGACCGGAGCCTGCGACCGTCCATCAGGCAGGCTGTCAACGTGCTGCGGCTGGAGGCGCCTCTGCCAAGCCTGCCGGCGAGGATGCCGGTGGCGACCTACATGCCGCCGCCTGATGCTTTCTACTACACGTCTTCGGTTACGACAGGCGGCACCGGCACCACTCAGTCCAGCATGACATCCGTCCCGATGAAATGAAAGTAGTTCAGGGCTTCAGGCCTCCCAATTGTACATAGCCAAATTTTCACAACCGTTTTGAACATAAGTTTTTTTCCCGAATGTGCAGCAAGAGATTTTCTGCAATTATATTGCAAGGTACAGTGAAAAATACAAGCGACTTAGCGTCTAGAAAAACAACTTAGCCATTGTTCCAAATTCACCTGGAGAAAACAGTGGAAAAAACAACTAAGAAAAAAGAAAGGCAGATGCTATATCCCAGTCGACTGAAATCTAGCATTTTTTCAGTCGACGTCTGTGAACCATCAGATCAGCATCCAACGCTCAGGATCTGTCCCAGTTCAAATCTACGCTAGCAAACCTTACCGGGTCCGCGAATCAACCCGTTTTGGAATAACAGATGCTACCGGGCCCGCCAAAGCTTAACGGGCGCAGGATCCGATACCCGTTATAGCTCGTTTGGCCCAAAATCAAACTATCAGCCCAATAAACAGACGTACAAGCATACATAGAAAATAACAATTCTGCCACTGCAACCTCCAGTTATAAATGATGCTGAAATATTCAGACCATACACAAGATAATTGCACATTTGTATTATTTCAACTATTACTATCCGATAATGCAATTATACTGCATGCGTGTGCAAATAGCAAGACCTGGTGGTATGTGTGCAATTATAGAAGCCCACTGATGCTTAAAAAAGCAGTATCTATATGTTCTAGACTATATTTCAAAATGAGCCGGAGCATGTTGAGAGGACAAATTTAGCTCTCTGGATGTATAACTATTGTCCATAGGAACTCCATTACAGTCAGTCACATTCTTCATCATCATACCATTCAAATTGCCACATGCTTGGGTATCAGTCCCTTTGAGATCGCCCCAGTCATCAGTAGGTTGTGTGGCATCAGCCAGCAACACACAAGGAAATCATTGCCACAGTTCTTGACAGTAACCAAACCAAGCCATCCTCCTCTATACCGAACCATATATCAAGTGATTAACCTGGGTACACAAGAGCAGGTTAGCAGATTCGACAATGTAAATGCTCGCTTTTAAGAAATGAATACAACGTAAGCATGCATCCACCTTTCTAAATACCTAGAGTATGACCCTTTTTCTGTGTGAAACTCAACCTTGCAATGTTGCCAGCACAAGCAAACAAAGTGCACATTTGAATTAGTGCAACTTTAAGTGCTTAAAAGTGCAATTACTTCTGTTAGACAAACTACACTATGTGTCTCAACAGTTAAGCTGATTACAATCTACAAGGTACCAAGGAACCTAAAGTAATGATGATAAGCCAAACCAACATTTGATTGCATTAAGCTCTGTACAAAATGTAATGATGAGAGTGGTGCCATGGCACATGAACTACAGTTAAATCATTAGCAAAGCACACTCATCAATAAAACCAAAGTGCTCATGGACAAAAGGCACCCAATCTTGTTTTCTAAACTTTAAGTAACTTAAGTTGTCACTCGCATAATACTGAAACATCTGAATGAGCCCAAACTACAAGACTGGTATCGAATACTGAAAGCGTTTTCTCATACTATGGATCAACAAGTAACTATGACATAATTGGTATTGTAAAAAGACTTATAAAGAATTACTAGTACACTAGTGCACAAATCACAACAAACAAATAGTTCAGATGTTTAACACTAGCATATTGCATATACTCAAAACTAAAATTGCACAACCGGATACTTGCAATTTACATTATTGCTGACTGTAATTACGTAATTGACAATTATGTGCATACAGATATCATTTCAAAGTTAGATATTCACACAAGGGGTAGTAATTGCAAGCAGGTAGTAATTGAAAGTAGGTAGTAATTGAATGAGATAGAATTTAGACTTTACATATTCAAGATACAAGTGTCATTGTGTTTGTCTGTCCAACATCAAGATACGGGATAACCAACAACAACATACCTCATATAAGTAATCGCACCACCAGAGTTTGAATCTTAGAGAAGAGTTGTTGTAGAAACAGCTCCAGTTGTTGAAATGATGCACACTGCCTTGGGTCTTATTTTGAGAAGTCCATTATTCCGGAAGCAACGTCCTGCACAAAGAACAATGTAATTAGCTAGTATGTCCTACCCAGACTGATCAGTACACTACAAGTACGAAAGGCAACTGTTGTGCTGGATGTTGTCTGCGTAATGTTCAAATTAAATAAAGCATGTGCTCTTCCTAGTGTCGATCCACATTTCATGATTCATTGCAGAACAATGTAATAGCTGCAAGAAGTCCAAAAACTAACAAACTGGTGGATTTTGCCAATATGCAATCTACTATGGCCACACAATTTGATCAACATAAGAAAACACAAAATCATGTTCTGATGCATATCCCCATTATAATACCCAATAGGCCAATACAAAGGAAGTAAAAACCATTTCTTGTCTTGCTGCTAGAGAAGCATGCCCAAGCTTGAAGCAAAGCTACAAGGAAAGGAGACAGATGGATAGGTCTTGGTGTCTATTAAAGCAAACATGACTCCCATATGAGAGAAATGGAAACTAGATTACAATCTGGCACCACTACAAAGGCACAGTATGTGGAAACACCTAAGATGTATTCTAGAAATCCTCTCTGTGTACCATCAGAATGGCTTGCAATGCCTTTAGTCTAAAAAAATCAGAGTGGCTTGCATCTGGACAAATATTCAAGAGGGAGTAGAGTTCTAATGGCTTATATGATATGTCCCTTTGACTACAACCATAATTCACGGCTGTTCTCAGTTCTCTCTAACAGATATCACCTTACAATATTGACTTATAGGTATTGTCAACCACAATCCAAGCACCAGTATTTTTGCACAGATCTGAACTTCTGTGAAATGACAATGCGATATTATAAGTGGATAGTGATTCCAAACACAAGTATAAGATTTAAGACCATAATGGAAATAATAAACTTTGAATAAGCAGTTACCTTCAAGTATCTCCAACTGGAATCAGGCCATAGTGGGTCCAGATTTTCACAACCAACAATCATACTAGTAAACCTACAAGACAAGATAATAATACATCACAAATAATCATTTAAGAGTAACTACAAATAGTGAGCAGCTACAATTCGGGGACCGAGTGACATGAAGCCACCATGAATAATTTGCTCATCACACACAGAACACAATAAAGATTTTTTTTCTATAGGACAGATTACAAAACCTTTCTATGCTAACACAATCACAGAACACAATAAACATTTTTTTCTATAGAAGGAAAGATTACAAAATCTTTCTATGCTAACACAATCACAGATCACAATAAACAAAATATATGACAATTGTAGACACAAGTGCGGGACATGGAAGAAAAATTCTAGACTAAATATGTCCTTGATTTGCAAGGGAGAGAAAGAAAATGCAAACCTGATCAAGTATAAGGCGAGCAATAATGGCGCCTGATACCCCACGGATTGTCACTAATTTACTCAAATACCTGCAAATGGAAAACTAATTATCAAACAAAAGTAGTTGCAGAAAAAGCTAGCTACACTACATGATACTGATAATTACTCTTGAAGCTTAGAAGAGATCACCAGACATGTAAAATTGGTGCAATAACAATGGCAACGATAAAAAATGGTGTGCTGGCACAAATCACACACTAATTTATGCAATAACAATGACAAGGATAAATTCCATATGCTCAGAACTACAATTGCAACGCTCAATACTTGCAATTTATATTATTGTTAATTGCAATTAATTAACTTAATATTTTTTTGTTTTCATGAGCAGGGGACATCAAAATGGACAAAGCAATATACTGTATGTGGGCCAATGACTTACAATGATTTATATAGGCCAATGGCTTACTTGAAATGCATGAATGAATTTACAGAACTGTATATTGGCCAGTGACTTACAATGACCAGAGTATATGCACTCACAAATGCTTTAAATGTAAGCCTAAAAGTAGTCATCTCATAGATCCAGTAGCTAGCAGGAGTTTAGCCAATATGACAGACACCCAATATTGAGAGGAATAGAAAATTGATGTGTATAGTCTTACCATGGGACCATATGAAATGTTAGTAAAAAGTTCAGGGCACATGTAACATGGAGTTGCCACAACATTCAGAAGTGTCAAAAATTGCTGCAACTCATGGGATAACAAATGATGGCTCTTTGTATACAGGAACCTAAAATAAAATAGATCGCAAGCCCTTATTAATTGCCATCGTTAAAATTACACTAGAGGGCAACAAAGCCAACAACCAAATAGTAAGTAGGTTAAGAAGTTAAAAGCGAAACCATTAAGCACCAGAATACTAGACTGAGAAGAAAGACCTATTGGGGGTACTTGGGAAAGATCTCAAGCTTAAGCTTATTTCTTTACAGAAATTTTTAGATCTTATGCAATTGATACTTCCAAAAACTGTACTTAGGCAAGTTCAAGTTGACCTCTACGCCTGCAGGTATGGTGTTATTTATGCACAATATAAACCCATATTATGGTCCGTATGTCCTTAAGGCAGTAGCGGATGCGCTCTATAATCTTGGACCCAATAAAGAAGGACGGACCCGACAACCACAACAGCAGGCGCACAAATCTTGATGCCTATCGAAGTATCAGACAGACGGCGTGTCCACTGAAGAAGGAGCCTGATTTCAGGCGACAGATGCATAGGAAAAGTGTAAACTAATTTATAGGAGATGTGATATAAGAGTTCTTGTGGAAATGCTCTGCATTAACTAACAGTGAAGAACACAAGACATTCCACTCCATTGCATTTGGTTTTTGCTTGCACTGTACAGAAGACTAATTTGCTCTATATTCAGTTAACAACATTGAAACCTTAATCCATTAATCATTGACAGAATTACAAGCTGTCAAATGATGAAGAAACTACATTGACTGAACTAAAATCTACAGATTACACCATCACCTTCACCACCATTGAAAAAGAAAAGGGACAAATCATCATTTAATCATTGTCTCAACTATAACCTGATAACTGAAGCTTGTACTAAAGTAGAAAAGGGACAAA